TGTGGTCTATTTAGAGAATGACCCATGTGCAGCCCAAAAGAATGTATATTCTGGTTTTGTGGGGTGGAACACTCTATAGACATCTATTAAGTTCATTTGTTCAAAAGCTTGATTCAGTTTTAGTATTTCATTGTTGATTTTTTTTGTCTAGATGATCTATTTGCAATCCTATCTTCTATTTCTGAAATTCTATTTTCATATTCATTCATTCTGCTGTGAATGCTTTCACTACAGTTTTTAATCTCTTGGGTTTTTGAATCTGTTTCATGGATTCCTTTTCTTTCTTATGTTGGGCATTCAAGGTTTCCATTTCTTCCTATGCTGAACTTCTGTAATGATCCCGAGTGCATCTATTTTATTTTTTGGTCTGTTTCTGTTCTAGAGTCTCTAATCATGTTTTTCATTTTTCTCACCATCTCTGTAGTTACCTGGGAAATTATTTCTGTTTCGACTTTTTCTAGAGCCTGATTAATCTGTTTTGTTACTTCCTGTGCTATGAGTTCAGGGTGTTCTGGTGGTTGATTGTCTGGACACGCCCACCTTGCTTTCCCTAGAATTTGCTGTTTGTGAACTGGAAGTCTTTATTTGTGCCCTGCTTAAGTGTTTTCTCATTTTTATTTTTGTTGTTGGGCTGTCCTTGATTTAATTCCTGGGTTAGTACTTTGATCTTCCTGATATATCTGCTCTTTAGATTTTGAGTCTCTTAATGACTCATAGACACTTTCATTTTCATAATATCAGAAAGGACAACTCATTAAATCAATCACAACCCTTTAGCACAATTGATACAATCAGCAACACAATAGCATCAAGCACAGCTTAGGAATTGACCATTTTTGGTAGTTATTAATCTATCACTTTTAACCATGTGAATTAAATCAAAATCGAGGACCAGCCCCAAATATATTTATAGTGAGTAAACTCTTCAATATATAGTACCTGTACCCTTCAGGATGGGGGCTTAGAAGGAGCTGGGAGGAGAGGAACAGGAGAAGGTTTCAAGTGAAGCCAGAGGACAGAGGATGATCACATAGGAAAATGTTGAAGACAAGAAGGAAAAACAGTGCAAGAGCAAAGACAAGAATAGAATAATTTAACAGAAATAGGGAAGCTATAAATTGTACTCACTTTCCTTTGAAACTAATGACCATTAAGTGAAGAATAAAGAGTGAAGAAAAGAAAGAAGAAATCCAAATTAGGGCTGGAACAGGAACAAAAAAGGGAGATGTAAAATAACTTGGGGGAGCAAGCGACTGAGCAGGAAGAAGAAGAAAGAAAAAAGGAAGAATTTGCATTTAAATTGGAGTACTGGGTAATTCTTATCCTGCCAGGGAAAATAAAGGGATAAGGCAGACAGCGAGAGGAAATAACAACAAAGAAACAAGAAAAAATGAAATAATGACAGAACCATAGAATACCAGGAACACATGCTGCAGTCTGAGTTCAGCTGCAGGTTTCCAGGCTGGTCCCCTCCCATGATGTGCTCACTTGCCTGCCTGTGAGGAGGTTTGTTGATCCAGATGGCCCTCCTGGCTGCAAGCCAAGCTGTGGGAATGACTGTATATCTTTGTCTCTCTCCCAAGATCCTTTCAACTCAACTAATTTTGGGAAGGGAAGGTGCAGTATGAGTTTCCCAGCAGTTACTTTTATGGAAACAAATCCCATAATCTTGATGATATACAGGCAAACCAGATATTTGTATACATCAAAACCCAATTACTAGTAACCACTATTCCACCACTTGAAATCACAAAGAAATCAGTAGCAACAACAGAATTAAAGACAAAGTGGCTATTGACACACTATATGAACCAATGAAAGCTTCCACTACATCACTCTTAACCAGAGAAAAGAAATTTTCCACAATATAGACAGGACCACCATGTTCTTACTGATTTAAGCCTTATGTTGCTTAAACATATCAGTAGGGTCATTTCTAGCCCACATACTCCTTGCAGCTTTCTCTAGTGGCCATCTCCAAACAAGTCACTGTGATAGTGTAACCTCAGAAACCCTGAAGTGTAGTTCTGTAACTTCTGATCAGTCTTAAACAATTAACCTTTTCTTAATATGGCTCTTGACTAATCACTCTTAAACAGGGCAGGCATTGCAGTGGATTTCTTCTCCAACTCTAACCTGCCATACGGAAGGATTAATTTTAGGTTAAAAACTCAATGCTATATTTGCAGTTAAAACAAACAACTGTGGCTTTTCTTGTGGCTACCACTGCTGGCCCAGTCTATTTTTGTCTCAGAGACTGTCAATCATCTCTAGGCTTATTTTACGTTTGAGGAGATAGGTCCCCTTCCCTAGGAGGTGGGGTTAGGATTCCAGTTTGCTCCTTTCTTTTCTCTGCATTGCCCTCAGTTTCCTCTATGATTTCTAATTTTTCTGAGCTTTTCTTCCTTTTTCCTTCACTAAGTTGTTTTTCAGGTGTCACTAATCCAGGTCCTAGAGAGGGTGTGTGATACACAGCTGGTTTTAGGTTGTCATCTTTGGTTCCTCTCTCAATAGCTTTCTAATGTGCAAGTGATGTGTTTAACTGATAAATCCATATTCACAAAAATATGGGTGGGCTACAGAAATCAATGTTGTCAAGTGATCTCAATTTGAAAGAACAATTTTCAATCCAATTTGTGCAATGAAATATGATTTTTGGGTAATCTCAGAAAATGAAGGAAGTCAGTAAAGGAGGAAAGGAGAGCAACAAGGGGAGGAAAGGAGGGCAAAATCCATCTTCTTTAACCTATAATATCAAAATTGTTGACACCATGTTTATTTTAATGAGCACTTTTCTAGGTAATTATTTTGATTCTGCATTATGTATGGAACAATATATGGATTTTTCTTACAATAGACTTATTTATGTACAATATTTTGCTGAGGAGATCAGGACAAGAAAGTAGTGATGACAGGGTGGCACAAAACACAGAAAAATATTATTGAAAAGTAATTTTAAAGACAGATATAATACATGAATTAGCTCTAGTGGAGTTTGGATGACTATGGATTTAAGCAGAAGGGATTATGAAACTGAGTAAATTTTCTAAGACAAGGCATCTTTTCCTGAAACTGTTAACACAGCATTAAGAGTTTTAAAAGACCATCTTTTGTGCTGTCAGTAAAATAAGAGAAAGTAATTTCTATTGCTTCTGAAACATTTAATGAAGCTTTCAAATTGTTGAATAGTCTGACCAATCTTACCTGTCTCCATTTGCATACTTCGAATCTATATTTTTCTCACTCTAGTAAGCTATTTAACTATTTTTCAAACTATAGTATTTATATTTGGAATTAACTGGCACTTCTGTAATAGTAAAACTATGACTAAAATGTCTTTATGGATACCTTAATTCATGTAAAATCTGTTAAGACTCTTAACAATTCAAGAATTCAGATATTTCACTAGTAAAGTAAAAAGTATTTTTTTTCTTCAGAGCAGATATTCATTTACTTCTCGAGTGCACTGTTTCTAAAGAAGAAAAATATAAGTGTATAAGGTATTCTTTTTCTGTTATACTGACCATACTCACTTATCTGAACTTTCAAATGGCATAAGTGACAATACGAAGTAGGAAGAAAAAGACTAAAGGTGTAGGGGAAGTGGGAATGGTAGGGGAAAGGAAATAAGGGAAAAGAAAGATATAAGAAAAAATGTGCATAAGTGACAATACGAAGTAGGAAGAAAAAGACTAAAGGTGTAGGGGAAGTGGGAATGGTAGGGGAAAGGAAATAAGGGAAAAGAAAGATATATGAGAAAATGAAAAAATAGAAACAAAGTTTTTGTAAATAGGGAAGGGAGGAGGGGGTGAAGGGAGGCAGGGGGAAGGGGAAAAATGAGAACCAAGACCTGTCATGTAAAGGTACAGGATCCCAGTGATGAATAAAATGGTACTGTATACCTAAAAAGTACCAGTAAACTCAATGAGGAAAAAAAAATCTGAACTTCTTTCTAAAAGGCACATTGTAGCAGCACTATATGAAAATTATTATCTTTTTCGTTTTGGATATGAATTAATACTCCATTTTACTGAGTAGGGGCTTGTCATGTATAGCTTTTATTATGTTAAGATATAATCCTTCTATGTTGTCATCTCGCAGAACAAGGTTGGGGAGCTCGGACTGGGAGGGTAAGGCACGGAATCACCAGGCAGACTCTGGGGAGGTTCCTGGAAGGCTTCTGCTTTATTTAGGAAATGCACAGGCTTATATAGGGACAACTGTGGGGGCGGAGCATGGGAGAGCATTAACATTTGGCGATACATTATTGGAGGCACGGTGGAGTGATTTTTCTTGGGCGGAGTGAAGGAGTCACAGACCAGGGGTGGAGGTGTAGCCTGTTGGACCCAGCATCTACCCACTTAGGAGAGTTAGCTCGGCTCAGGAGACAGGAGTGCGGCGCACCTGGCCCAGCCAGGCTTGCACTTCTCCTACACGTCTATACGTAGTCTCCTTGAAGTTTTTAATCTTGAAGGGATGTTTAATTTTGTCTTATTATCTCTTATTATTTTCTCTTTCTCTAAAGCTTTTTCCATGTGGAACAGCCAACTCTCTGCATTTGACTTCCATTATAATAATATTAACACCTCCCTGTCCTACTCAATTATTTCTCATTACCAGTTGCTCAGGACTGTAGAACTTTGGAGCTTTTGATATAATGGTCTCAGGTTGAGCATTATTTTAAAAATTCTTCTCAGATAGTTACTGAACTCAAAGGACCAAATAATTTTTGCAGCTACTAATAGAGTAAGAAGCTACATGGTAAGAAAATATTGCTTTCAGCTCCTTAGAAAAGATAATATCTTAGTACTCTGAAGTTATGTAGTTTATTTCATTATAGCCACACAATTAAGTATTTTTTCTAAAGTGTATATTCACAGATTTTATGCAAGTTCTGGGTAACATGAATTCAGAGGTTTTCTCTAATTCTTATTATGAGTATCCATATGCACAATTTGTTTGACTGAGATTATTTTTTATTTCACATGATTTTGTCTTAGTATTGTGACAAATGGAATTGTAAAGAAGTTCGATTTATTATCAACACAAGCTGTGATGCTGAAGTAGATTGTGGTGGTAATGGGGTGAGTAAATACAGTGTTTGTGTAAAGCAACATAATTTTTCACAATCCAGTGAAGAACTGGAGAGGCCTTGTAAGGTGATCTGATGACAGTGTCTGAGTCACTGTGATGCTATATCATGCCATTTTTACCATCTATAATTTATAGCTTTAATCTTTTCTTAAGAAAATTACAAAACTATTTACTAGGGAAGAAAAAGAAGAAACATTTAAAATAATTCTGGATACATGAATGTTTGATAACTGTGGGGGTGGATGTGCGCTAAGTCCAACAAGTGCTTGTGTCACCATATTAGTAAAATCTTTTTGTTTTACAAAGAGAAGGCAGAAAGTGACCAATAACTTCATTTGAATTTTATTGCAAGTATTGATAATCGTTAATTTAGTCTGGGATATCCGGTCTAACTAGCAAGTTAGTAATAATTAGGGGCACGTTACTGTTAATTGTGAGGTATTTGCATCTGGCTGTGGTTGACATTGCATAAAGTAAAAGAAGAAGAGGCAGAAAAAGAAGATGAAGAAAAGGAGAAAGAAGAGATGGAGGAAGAAGAAGGGGAGGAGGAGAAACGGGGAGGAGGAGAAATTATTTGACAATAGATGTTTGTGAAAAGCTAGATGTACTCTGCAAAGTGCACATGATTCCAAAAGGAAATGTGATAAAGTCTCTAGAATGAGATACTATGGAATGAGCACACACTATTTATTAGTCTCCAACAAAAGCCATCTTTATAAAAAATCATTCCTTTTTGGTTTATGTCGGACACTTAGTTATCATTCACTACATGTCATTAAGTTGCTCCCATCTATGTTAGCCTATTTCCTCACCTTTTTATAACAGGGAGAGTAATTTACATATATATTGTCAGAGCTGAATTAGTTTTATGATAGACCAGGTATTACAATTTATTTAATAGATAGTACCTAGGTATATGCAATTTTATACATAAGTTTCTGAGTAATAAAGAGTGCTAGGAATTAATTTAGTTATGAAGACTTTTAAAGTCTTCATAAAAAGTCTTCATAAAGTCAACCTAAAAAGGATACTGTAAGCTGTTAAAATAGTACATGAATTATTTTAATGATATATAAAAAGGTTTTAAAAATTTTTGCGCAGTGGTTGTTTTATGGCAAAGTAACTTACTAAAATGTCTCTATTTGTATTGATAATGTGAGACATAAGTGTAACTCAATATATACATACGCCCATACGTATATGAAGAAAATCATTTTTAATATTTTTGTACTGATGAAGTTTCAAAAGATAATTTTTGCTTAACAGAACCTAGTTTCTTTTATCTTGGTGATTTCACAATTTCTTGAGGACTTGAAGACCTTTCGATTCTCAGACTGTCTCAGACATGTACACTATATAGAACAAGGCTAGAAATGCACATATAAATAAAATCTGATTAAGACTACTCTAAATGTTCATTTACAGTGGGTGAATACATGGAAATAATTACCTATAAGCCATAATTAGGTTGTATGCCTACTGTAGTTTTTTCCATTTCTGTATTATAAGTGAACATTAAAACATTTTATATTTACCAGAGGGAAAGTATTCTCTTTTTTTTTTAATCAATTTAGGTTTGCAATAATTTTCAAAATTGTCATTGTAACAAAGGATTTTTCCCTCCTGAGTGCCAGTTAAGGAAAGGAGAATTTGGAAGTATTGATGATGGTCATGTGATTAAAGGTTAGTATCCTTAAAGCTGCATTAATTAAATATAACACATAAATGAATAAGTGATAGATTTTCAGCCAGATTCCAAAGCAAATGATGCCAAAAAACAGGACTTTATTTTTTAAAACAGACTGAGTGCATATTGTTTTTTCTATATCAGCACTAACATTGGTAACTGACGAAAAATTGGGTATGGTGTCAGAAAACTTCAAAAGTAGAAATTTTATTGTGCATAATTTTACCAGTAAATTTAAACAGTTCACTGGATTGTTTCAAATATTTCTATTTTAAAATAGTGTCATTTATATATGGTACTAATGCCCTAAAAATCATTAAGGCTGATTTTTCTTCTTGTTGGCTTCATAATTGCTTTTCTTTCTCCTGTTAGAAGGGTTCTAGGGTAACCTTTTGAAATTTCCTCACTTCTTTTGTTCTTGGGTGGCATTCTGAAGTCAAGCAAACATGTAAAACCTTTGTTTTACAAGGTATGGAGCCTATGCAAAATAGTGCAGTTTAGTTGGGCTGTTCACGCTACCTGCTTTCCTTATGGGGGCTTACAAAGCAGTTATGGGTCTTGGGCACACTTCTGTGTACTTGGATGTTATGAGGCTGTCAACTTTTTATGAACAACATATACAACAACATCAAACTGTGTATCAAGCTAAAAGAAAAGCATAATGATTTAAGATATGACATTTATGAGATATATGCATAAATTATTTTTACAAAACATGAAAAATAGATGTTTATTTGAATTATGTATTTTTCTGTATTATTTACTATTGAGTTGCATGTTACGGTTTATATAAAGCAACAGGACTATTAATTGACAATATTTTATACTAAAACTAAACAAATGTTATTTCTGAGAAAGTTATATCAGTGTTTTATAATAAGAAACAGGAAGTCCTATGATGTAGTAATTTAACTTTAAAATTTTTTTTTAACTTTTAAAGAAAGTAATTTAACTTTAGAAAAACTCTTTAAAGTAAAAGAATCATAGGCCAGGGATTTAGCTCAGCGGTTCGGTGGCCTGCCTTGCAAGCACAAAGACCCAAGTTCAATCTCCGGTACCAAAAAAAATAAAAAAAAAGAATCATACCACAGCGATATATGCCACCCATGTTTATAGTGGCACAGTTTGTAATAGCTAAAACTTGGAAACAGCCCAATTGTACATCAGTTTTTTGTTTATTCCATCTAATATGTTTTTAAAAAAAATAAGGCAATATTTTTATTAGATTTGCATATGGCATTTATTGAAATGATCACATATTATCCTTGAAACTTTTAAATATGAAGCCATTATCTTTCAGCCTGACATTCTTGAGATTATTAGTTGTGAATGTAGCTGATAAAAAAACACTTATAGAAATTTGGTAATTATTTCTTCTTTCACAGAATCCCCTGGGTATAATGGTTTGTGCCCTCCTTCTTAAAACACACTGTATTAGTCTTTCAGGGGTGCCATAATACGTGCTACAAACTAGGTATCTTAACATATATTTTCTAACTTTTGGATGCTCAAAATCCATAATGCAGGTGCTGGTATGTTTGGTTTCAGGTGAAGGCTCTTTTCTTGGCTTGTGGAAAGACTCCTGCTTACTGCATCTCTACACGGTTTCTCAATCTCTCTCTCTCTCTCTCTCTCTCTTTCTTTCTCTCTCTCTCTCTCTCTCTCACTGTCTGGATGGAGGGGTTTCCCTTCTAAGGACAGCAGTGCTATCAGGATGAAGCCACCCTATGACCTCATTTAACCTTACTTACCTCCCGCAGCCCCAGTTCCTAACTCCATCACATTGGGGATTGGGACTTCAAGATATGAATTCAGGAAGTGACAGTTTTATCCACAACATTACACCTTGTGAGCCCCAAAATTCTTTTACTTCTTACATGCAAAGTGAGAGTCTATCCCAACATCCCTCCAAATCTTTACTCATTCCAGTCCATTCAGAGTCCAAAGTCTTGGAATATTGTCTAAATCAGGCATAAGTGAGATTTGAGGTATGATTCTGTCTGATATAAAAATTCTCCAAAGCAGTGAATCTGTGAAACCAAACAGCTCCTTCTGAAGTGCAATGGAGAGACAGACCTAGGACAGGCATCCCAAAACCGAAAAACTGTGTGTGTGTGTGTGTCTGTGTGTGTGTATACATATATACATACACACACACACACACACACACATATGTGTGTGTGTGTGTGTGTGTGTGTGTGTGTGTGTGTATGTATGTATATATATGGTCCCTCATGTGTGTGTGTGTGTGTGTGTGTGTGTGTGTGTGTGTGTGTGTGTATGTATGTATATATATGGTCCCTCATCCCGGGCAAGTTCAAAACCTAGGCAGGAAAGAGAAAAATAAAGCAGACTTTTTGGAGAAGAGGAGAAGGAGATCAAGGAAAGAGAAGTGGAGGGGAAAGGAGATGAAAAACGATCAGCATATGTTCTGTATGTATCATTTTGCCAAAGTGAAAATAACTATCATGTAATGCAAACATATACCAATAAAAAAGAAAAAAAGCAACTAGCAAGACACATTCCAATGAATCTTGAAATGAGAACAATAATAGTTGGCTTTACATTTTTCTCCCAGGCCCACTGGGACAGTAGTGTTAGCCCCAGGATCACAGGCTATGAGCTCCCCGCCTTGGTTCTGGGAGCTGCCCTAGCCACGCTGTCTTTGTAATAGTCTTACTTATGCTGCACTGGACTGCTGCACCTAGAGCCACAGAAATTGAAGAGAGGTCCCCACTCTCTGAAACCAAGGAGGGGCAGGCCATACCTCATTAGCTTGGAGGGGATGGCAGCTCCAGTGATTTTGGAGGTACCTGCCAGGCTATTCTTCTTTCTTAAAAGATAAAGCATTTTGGGGGCCAGATAGTTTTGTTATCTCATTCTGAACCCTTTGATCCAAATGGACAGTGTCTCTGCTGGTGTAATTTCATTTCTTCTGGTTAATCCCGTATTCCTGGCTCTTCCTATCTGATTGAACCCATGCTTCATACCTATTACATCTTCATCAAGTGATTTTGTAGAACACACTTGGTATTCACTACAGAATATTTCTTTCCTTTTTGAAGTATGGATAGGTTTAAATTTTCTGTTTGGCAATTACTTTTAATCCATCTCTTCCCTCTGATTTCCATAAGCAATCTGGAGGACATGGGAATGACTTAGAAATCTCAGCTACTTGCCCTATTTCAGGGCTTGCCACAGCAATTAGACAAGAGAAAGAAATTAAAGCAATAAAGATAGGAAAGGAAGAAGTTAAACTGTCATTATTTGCTGATGATATGATACTCTACATTGAAGACCCAAAAAACTCCACCAAAAGACTTCTAGACTTAATTACCAGATTCAGTAGAGTATCTGGATACAAGGTGAACACCTGAAAATCAATAGCCTTCTTAAACACAAATAACAGACTCACTGAGAGAGAAGTAAGGGAAAAAATTCCTTTTACAATAGCATCCAAAAAAATGAAGTATCTAGGAATCAACCTAACAAAAGAAGCAAAAGATCTCTACACAGAAAACTACAGTACTCTGAAAAAAGAAATTAAAGAGGATATAAGAAAATGGAAAGATGTCCCCTGCTCCTGGGTAGGAAGAATCAACATAGTGAAAATGGCCATACTGCCAAAACTGCTATATACATTCAATTCAATGCCAATTGAAATTCCAACACTATATTTCACAGAACTAGAAAAAAGAATACAAAAATTCATTTGGAACCATAGGAGACCTAGAACAGCAAAAGCCATTTTAGGCAACAGACACATGGCACCGGGTATAACAATTCCCAATTTGAAACTATACTACAAAGCCACTGTGATAAAAACAGCATGGTACTGGCAAAGAAACAGACCTGAGGATCAGTGGAACAGATTGGAAGACACAAAAACAAACCCAGATGCACTCAGCTACCTCATCTTTGATAAAGGAGCTGACCATCCTCCGTGGAGGAAAGATAGCCTCTTTAATAAATGGTGTTGGAAAAACTGGATGTCAACCTGCCACAGATTAAAACTAGACCCTTATCTTTCGCCATGCACTAAATTAAAATCCAAATGGATTAAAGA